CACCTCGCCCCTGCCTCGCCCGCCACGGTGAGGGCTGCTGACGTGGCGCCGGAGTTCTCCCAGAGAGACGGCACGGGGTGGTGACGGCGTGACCGAAACGCAGCTCTTGGCGGTGCGAGGGCCCCGGCTGCAGGGCGAGTCCGCTCCCACGGACGGGCCGGCAACGCTTGCGCTGGCGTAAAGCCGCCGCCTTTGGAAATGTTCTCGGCTGCGTTTCTTGAGGCGTCGCAGTCTTCAGGTGCCTGTCGCGACACATACCAATAGAGGGTCCCGAGGGGACACGGCATTGTGGAAGGCCAACTGAAAGCGGTCCGGTACACGCAGTCGTCTTCTCGTCTGAACACTGGATGGATTTATCTGGAAAGTTAAAATAGCCTGGTTGGAGTCTGCTTCTCAGACACAGTGATAACTTTAAAACGCACCATTATTTTAAGTAGGTGTTGAACTAAATTAAGCTACTAGTTAAAACAACCTCTGAAAACCACTCCCTCCCCACCTCTGTCTAACTGGCCATGACAAAAGCCCTTGCTGAAGTATTCTACCATCTGCTGAGTATGAGGTCAGTGTTTCTCTCCCACTGGTTTCCACCTTTCACTGCATAACTTTTTCAAAATACTTCTTCTAAACACCAGAGACCTAAAATTCTGCTGACGCTCCGAAAAGCGTTTCTCCCATGGATGAGTGTGGCCATCGTTGTTCCAATTCGTTACGCGCGTAGGAATCACTCTCTTGCAGAGCGCCAGCAAACTTGGTAAAGCTGTGGCCAGATGCAAAATGCAGGGCTGATGCCCTAATTAGGGTTGCTTTTCTACCAAATCCTCGTCTCTGTCTTCCTCCCTCTTTGCACATTGCGAATCTTTCTGAAGAAGTGATTTTGCTGGGATAACACAGAGGCTGTAGTATGGTTCCTGTCGGTATTGAAATGGTGAGGGTGGATGACTACAACCTACGGAGGTGTCAAACAACAACTTAATTCATTCCAATCCCTTTTAAGAGTCCACAGTTCTTTTAGTTATATTTAGTTTTATTTACTGTATTAGCGGCAATAGAACTATTCCCACTGTACATTATTTTAATTCTGTTGAAAGCAAAACAAGCAGAAAAACAGCTAGCCAAACACTTCCTTTAAAACCAAAAGCACCGAGAACATGAAAGTGAAATGATTGCAAAACAAAAGTGGAACTAGAGTCGGTGTCCTTGGCAAAGATGATCAGGTGAATGAAGCGGAGTGGAAGCACTACAAATAAACTGAATATTTATCATTCTTTTTCTCTGAAAATAGTTTAAGTTTCCTGCGTTTCTTGTCCTTCTTTTACAGACATAAGACCAGTTTTCTAGCTTGCTTTCTGCAGTGGTTTAAGTAACACAGAGGCAGCTGCATTCCAGAGTTTCCGACATACTCAAAAGTATCGGTGTGCTGGGGGAGCCCTGGGGGGAAGGGGCAGCTCCTTTTTTATGAACGTGGGGGCAGTGGTTCGTGAAAAGTGGACTTTACTCCCCTGTGAGCCTCAGTTGCAGGTCCCAGTCCGTTACGCCAAGCTCTGAGGAAGCCTCTGGCCAGCCCTGAAATCATGCGCGTTCAGAGTCTGCACGTGAATACTTCTAGCCCTGTGCCGAGCGCCGTTTAGTCAGAGCAGGGAATTGAACACAGTACTTCTACATTAATATCCTTCTTCTGAACACACCGTATCAAAATGCATATGTAGTTAATAAGGTGCTAAGGCATAGTGCCTTTAGTGGAATTACGTTGCTCAATATCATTATGTTTCTTAAGCAAGCTTTTTATTTTTCGTCAAGGAACACTGCATTTAATTTCACATGCTCTTAATGGTGTAGAGCTCTCCGGAGCTTGCTCTGCGCCTGCCAGTGACCTTAATGGATGCAGGGACAAACCTCTTCATAGAATGCTGTTTTACAATTGCATTAGTGTTAAAGCTTAAAAGGGGAGAGAATTTGCAGGTGCAATACGTATGAATAGAAGCATTTTACAGTGAAGGCCAAAGATCAGAAACTGCAGAGGAGGATGTGCTCCTCCATAAATCTCGGACAATCTTATTTTAAAATTACTAAAAAGAAGTGGTTCATGGATGAAAGAGGGCACATCTACTTTAATGAAAGCAATAGATTCTGAACATACACATTTCTAGAAAAATGGGTAATATGAAATCTGACAGAACTGCAAACCAAAATGCTGTTGTCCTTAGCTCAGTTGTCTAGGACAGAAATAACTAAGGACATTTTTTCAGAGGCCTCTTGCTCTGAGAGAAAGTACATATATACAAAGGAGAATATTCTGCTGCAAATCTTCATAGGAAAACAATTGACTATGGCCTACTCCAAACTGACAATCTGATCAGAAATATGTTTAAGACACACCTCTCCCTGGTCCTACAGACCCACCTTTTCGTATGACACAAAAGAATTGCCGACAATGGATGATGTATTTAAAATATTTATTTAAAACTGTAAAATGTATTTAATAGTGTCTGCCAGTGCCAGATGCAAAAGTATGCATAAGCTTAAGTCCCAGTGTTTGAAACTGTGATTTTTCAAGTATTTTAATACAAGATTGTCACACGGTGCTGGAAGCTTTAAAACGTCGTTGAGAAGTATTGGATTGAAAGCCAGTGTGATCTGGTGAAGGTAAGAATCCCAAGTTCTTCTTGAGAAAAACCAGACTTTTTAGTTTAGTGCATCTTGAACAAGTATTTTAAACTATATTAGCAAGATTGTTTGATGAGGAAATAATAAGCTACAGGATTTTTTGCTGTAAGCGTCAGATGTGTTTTAGTTTTTGTTATCTTATACCCGATGGAAATAGCACTTCCGCGTCCATCTTCAGTGCCAGGTAGTTTATTCTGTGCTCCAATTTTCTAGATAAGGTTTCACATGTCCCATAAAGACACAAGAGTACCGATGCTGGTAGGAATTCACTGGAGAATTGTTCTTGTAGAGCACAAATAAAGAAATCATATATTGTGTCAGTGTCATATGTGAATAATCTGAGGTTTGTTTGTGAAATTTACTGTTTTAACACCTGCCAGCTGCAAAACTGTGTTAATGGGAACATGATCCAGCCTGTTTTTATCAAGGTGCAAAAAATGAACTTCATTGCCTGGAATGGAATGAGAATAACATGTAAATACTTGAATAAAATATTTATTTATTCAAAGACGTAAGTGAATCAAAGAAGCATTCTGCTTTCCTACTAGTTCTTGTATAAATGTGTACTAGCTCTTTAGATTGCACAATATACTCTTTTAAACAATGACAAAGATTTTTTTTTTAATTAAGTTACAGAAGCAAGGAACATTGAGGCATCTAACGGAATTAAATCTGCTGCAGCGTGATGTTGCCTAATGATTTGAAGAGATGACTTTGTCATATTGCAGCCCCCCCCTTCACACATTATTCTTCTACTAAAACCGCATGAAATGCCTAGAATCAAATGTGAAAGCAGGATGTCAGTGAACACCACGATGTCAAAAGAAACCCCTCCAAACTTCGAGGCAGTTGTTCCATCAGCACTCCTATCGATTTCTGCAGGACTGTGATCAGCTTTGTGCCACCTCTGTGGGAGGTGGGACTACACAATGACACTTCCACAGGTTCCTTCAGCCAGCAAAATCACACAGTTCAACACAAGACTGTCCCCTTGGGATCCACAAAGACAGCAGCCGAGATCGTAGTGTTAAAGCAAACAGCTGAAGGAGAAGACTGTGACTTTCACACAAAACAAAGCAGCTCACCTGGGCCTAAAATCAAAGCTCCTCCCTGCTGAGCGGGGTCTCCTTGAAAATCAAAAGCCGGGCCAGTCATTGCTCTCCACGTACTCCTAATGCTTCCCAGCAGCGTGTTTGACTTCACATGAGGGCTCCGCGCTAAACAAAATGGCAAAATACTTGTTATCTAGAAATACAAAAGTATATAAGGAGAACAATGAAATTGAACAGCTGCTATGAATAGTTTAGTTTCCTGATTACCAGTGTTTTGACAAAATATAGCCTACAAGAGATGGTCTAGTGGGCAACTCCCTTCCTATTTATACCGTGATCACACTATTTTATCAGAGCGTTCTTGTTTTGTTCTGTGTAAGTCCAAACAAGGTGAGAAAATTATTCTTACCTGATACATTATTACCTTCACCTCTTTTCATGCCAAGCGTTTTATAAATTTCCCTTTGTGGATCTACATACATTTCATGCGTATACCCAGTTAAACTGCAAAAGGGCTGCAAAATATATGCATACAAAAAAAGTAATATTTTTAAGGTTAAGACAGTAATTAGTTAGGATCTACTGACAGTGGAAAAAATACTGACACCCCGCCACCTCCCCCCCACCCCAATTTGGAAACCTGTGGATTTGTCATGTTAAATTAAGGGCCAAAAATACTTAGCCCCGAAAATTTTACTGAAGCAAAGCTTCCAGTGAAATCAAGAAAAGATGTTTCCTTAGCAAGCCCCACTGGTTTTTAAACTGAAAGTTTTAGTTACTTGCTTTATTCATGTACTACTATTAGAACTGCTTCATGAAAAAGAATACTGTCCTCTTTTTCTGTGGTTGCAAATGACCATCTTTTCACCCAGAGCGAAATCCCTCAAGGCAGACCATTAAGACACAATAGAGGGTACAATGTATTTAATGACTACTTTATTTACCTTGATGTGATGGTAAGATGACTGTCCAATAACTACAAGCCTCACATTTGCTTCCTAGAACAGAACATGGGTATTGAAACTGTAGAGAGGAACTCAGTGTTTCTGCATGGCTGCAAAGCATTAGCAGAATCTGGTGTCCTGAGTTAAGGATCGCAGTACACCGAGTTAAAATTATTTGAAATTAACATCACTTACACGTTTGGAGCCTGCACCTTTGTCTATCACCCACAGTTAGCAGCTACATAAATTTATTAAGTGAAAAAATATTTTTAAAGGTAACTTTTAAGTTACAGATGTGTACATTTTAAGTTTTCTGTAGCACTAGTAGCGTCATCTTTTCAATTGATTGCAACCTGCTATGATTTTGGAAATTCAAAATTTCCACTCAGTTGCACCTGCATCTAAAGAAGCAGCATGCAAATATTGGTGCACATACAAGTATGTCTGTGATTCGAATATACAGACGCTCATTAATAAATGTAACTGGCATCCACATGTACTGCTGTCTTTTGCAGGTGCAACATTAGGCCCGAGTCTTAAAACAGAGGCCAAAACTTAAGTTCATTTAGATGCCAGTAAAACAGTTAATAAAATATAAGGTTGTTTTAATATTAGGGTGTAATACTTGCCTTTCCCATATAGAATCATTTTGCTTGTTATGAAAAGAAGCCCTCCTACAAGACAGAATACTCGCACTAAGAAAAGCATGGATGGTTTTGATTCTCTGGATACGTTTATTTGAGCAGCCAAATTAAGAAAGTGTCATTCGGAGTAACACTGATTGAGCAGTTTAGAAAAATCTGTCCTGAGAAGGAGAGCTGCCAAAGAAATTGCCCCTTTTCATCCCCGACTTCCTAGTCCATCTAAGGCTTGCTGTCAGCAAGGAGCTGAGTCTCTGTCATCGGCTATGCTGCTGTTAGGAATAGAATATGACAGAATTTTAATCCGCAGCCTGGAAGAGTCAGATTGACCTTCCACATTTAGCAGGGGGATCATTGTCTTTCCCGGTATCTCCTACCACCCAACAAATACCCGTCCATAGCAACCCCTGCCCACTCCATTTCTCCTTTCTCTCACTATGTCACTCCTGTTTGTGCAGCTGCCTGGAGAACGGGTCACACAACTGATGCAGCTTACAAATAACCATAAAAAAAGAGACTATTTTTAATCCAGATCAATTTTCTGATCTTGTTCCATGCACAACCATCAGTCAGCCGTACCGGCATAATGGAAAGGGCAGCAGTTAGTCAGTGGTCAGGAGAAGACAGCTGCCCAGGCCACTACTAATACCAAAAGAAATGCCTGTCAGATGTCGGTTCAGAACACAGCAGAGAAAACAGCACCAAGCTAATAGGGCAGGGAGAAATAATGCTGCTGCAACAGAGCATGTAGTGCAATAAATCCTTTCCTGTGTCTCCTGGGCAGATACATCATGGCTGTTGTGGCAAACAATGAAAGTGCTAACTTTCTTCTGAGCTTTTTTTTTGATTCCTAGAAGGTTTAAGCCTCACACAAGCCTGCAGCAGGACATAACAAATCTGCTCAACTACAGCAACCCCATGTACATATTAAGGGCAGAGTACTTACTTGTAAAAACGCTTTGGGGACTTTTGCCAGGTCTTCTACATACTCCTTACAGGTGTAACATAAAAAATTCTGCAACATAGCCAGTTGAACATGTCAGAAACAGGCAAAATTGCATAGCAATGAAGCATCAGATTCTGACTTGGGGCACAAACCATTTTGGAGGTGATCAGGAACTGGGAACAGGAAAGATCAAAGTTCTTTGCAGTCACCAAACTTGGATTAGGATCCTGTTTAATCCAAGCCTGAACAAGGACACCGGGCTCGGGGCCTTGCTAATATTTTTATCTCTGGATATTTTAAGAATGTGAGAGCTGGCTTGCCAGCTGGGAAATCAGGGAACACAGTACTTGCTTCCCTAAACACACGGGTGAAGAATTATTTCCTTTCAGGTAATTACTGTATAATTTTACTAAAGAACGGGGGTTCTTAGAAGCAGAACCGATCTGCTCTGTATTTTCTTTTCTCTCTGCTCCAGCCTAGCTTGTGTGAACTCCCCGCTCCCCCT